ATGTGTGTTTTGCAGATGAACGCTCTGGCCTTGGAAGAACATTTGGAAATATATGCAGAAGTTGCTCTGTATGCAGTCACACAGACAAGAACTATGGAGCTTATCTTAGTAAGAAACGCAAAATGGAAAAAGGTCAAGAGCAAATCAAAGAACACAAGGAAACATTAACTGCATAATATTTGAACTGTACCATTAGACGATTAAAATGAACATTAATGTCTGGAATGGGGCTACTTAAAAACTTTCTCTCTCTGACCTAATGTGGAGGTATACAAGTATTTAAAAATATGTGGTATTTCTTATCTGTTTGTAAAAGAGTTACTGTGCCAGGAGAGAATCATAATGACATATACTGTAGACTGAGAAGTCACTTACATCAATTGAAAGAAATGAATGATTTCAGGGGCATCTTTAATGAAGAAGAGGTTTTGAGGATATATGGAGAAAATGTCTTTGGGTTTGAGGAAGCATAAAAACTATAAGGTGTCAACAAGTAAGGAATTTCTTAAAAATTTCAAACATTGAGATGATGTTATGTAAAGATGAGATAGCCATACTATACTTCCATATAGATTAGCTGAAGTTCTGAAATAAAGAATAAAATATTGAAAATTGTTCTAAAATAATTGACAAGAGTATTGTCCCAGTTTTTCTGGTGGCAGCCATGGTCACTTTAAAGAATATTAATAAGAGGAAAGAATATTTTCACATGCAATGAAATTTCAATCTGTTTTAAAAGAGAACAATTGTGAGTTTAAAGCAGAAAATGAGAGATGTTTGTTCATTGTGTACCAGACATTTCAGTGGGATTGATTTTGCTCTTAAAAGTTCTCCATAGCAAAAAAGCAAACAAGACACCTTGGTGAAATTACCTACACAGAGAATTATTGTTATTGCATTTTGTAGTTTATTACCCTGCTGCTGAATTTTGTCACAAAGCACTTACTGGGTGTTTTGCTATTAAAGTGTAAATATTGAGCAGGGGCTATTTTTAATATAATTACTTTAATATTTGAGCAGTTTACTATTTTTCCATTTGAAAGTACTTTTCTGTGTTGATAGAGATCAAATAATCATGTCATGCTGTTTGTTTAAAGTGCATTCTATTAAATATTTATGTACATATTAAAATTATCTAGTTAATTACTGTTCTACAGTTGACCCTACAATTTCTGCCAGCATTCCTTCTAGATAATGGGCAGCGGATTTCAGACAAACTCTCCTTTGACTTTTAACACTGCAATGTTCACCAACCATATTTAGATATAACTTGGGAAGTACATGCAAAACACATGCTGATGCAGTCCAGATAGGTATATGGACCAGCCTGAAAGCTTATTTAGTGCACACACAAAAAAATCTAGGTCTCTGTTTTCCCCAACTTTACTTAAAAGGGATAATATAGTAAATCTGCTTGATAGATAAACATCAGTCAGTCCCTGCCAATCACCAATTAATCAGCTTCTCCAATCCAAGTGCCCTCAGTATGTGGGACCAAATCCCCAGAATTCTTAGCAATAGCCTTCCCCTTCTAATAAAGTCCACACATCTTTTGAGGTGATATATTATGATAAAGCAATCTTCTCCAACCTTGTGCCCTCAAGGTAACTGAAGTCATTCCAAATTCCAGTCCCCAAGCAGAGCTGACTGTTTTGATTTGGAGAGAAGAGGGAATTGTATTTGGCTTGCTTGGAGAGCACCAGGGGGTGAGGAAAAACTGTGTTAAAAGTTTTGTGAAGAGATGTTAGCATAATAATAAATAAGTGCCTGACTTAATTACACTCGGGAAGGGTTTTTTCCCCCTTTGCATTTGATTGCATGGTACCTTGTCGAGCATTTCAGTTTCTGAATATTTCAGTTAAACTGTTAACCTTTACACTTAAATTTTCCTTCTCAGTCTATAATTTGTATGGTCTGCTGCCGTCAGAAAAGCGAGGTAGATTAGATGGCATCTGCTGTACTGCAAACTATAATTATTAGTAGTGTTTTGCATTACAAATGCACCCTTCAAATCCCTTCTCAGTAGACAGGTAGAGCTCCCTTGAAGTTTTACACAGGTAAGACCCACACTGGGACTACTTAAGACTGTCTTCTTCAGAAAAAGGTGTTTGTGAGAAAAGTCCTGCTGAGTGATTCAAATGAGTTGAAATACTAGATTACATGCAGTTCTTCAAGTGAGAAGTTTGGAGTTGCATTCTGCAAATTAAAAAAAAAAAAAAAGCTCCCAAAGAAATTTCTTTCAGGCTGAGAAGTCTACAGGTAGGCCAAGGCACAATTCACTTACAACCACAAATGAGCCCCAAATTTCTGTTTGTTAAAGTGAATTGTGCCTCATTTTATGCCCTTTCTTTTCTCAGTTATTAAGTGAATCACCACAGTTGATAAGTTAGTAACTTGGTTGTTAAATGAATCTGGCTTCCCCATGGACTTTGCTTGTCAGAAGATCACAAAAGGTGATCACAGGACTGGGGGATGCAGCAATGGTCATAAGTATAAACCAGTTGCCAAGCATTGAAATTTTGATCACATGATCATGGGAATGCTGGAAAGGTTGTAACTTTGAATGGTTACTAAACAAACTGTTCAAAGGACAATCTGTAATTTTAGCCTGTAATTTTCACTTACTCATTGACCACCATTTTCTACATAAAAGAAATGGTCCAATCAGGATCTCCCATCTGGAAACTGATAATATGGTATTGGGGATGTGCAAATCAACACATCATTATTGTAAGATATTATAACTCAAATGTTCAACGAGGAAAAATCAATGCAAAAAGTTTAGAGAGCAACCTCACAAAAGTACAGGCCACATTTGGATGTGCATATGATAATTAATGGCATAGAAATAGGGGGTTTGACTATGTTTCCAGACCCATTGAACAAACAAAGCTCTCACTTAAACATAATTTATGGTTTCAACTAAGAGCTTGGGCACAAGCTAATATTAAAGCACAATTACAGGTAGTCCTTGAGTTATAACAGTTCTTTTAGTGACCATTCACAGTTACAATGGCATCAAAAAAAAGTGACATGACTGTTTTTCACACCATTACACCATGGTCCCATGACCAAAATTAATGTGTTTGGCAACTGACTCTTATTTATGAGGGTTGCAGTGTCCTGGGGTCATGTGATCATCTCCGAAAAGCAAAGTCAATGGGGAAGCCAAATTCACTTAACAACCATGGTACTTAAAAACAGACATTCACTTAACAACTGGCAAGAAGGATTGTAAAATGTGGTAAAGTTCACTTAACAACTGTCTCACTTAGCATCAGAAATGTTGGGCTCAATTGTAGTTCAAGGACTATCTGTAGTTCTAATTGTGGGTGGAGATCTGTTTGTCATAATAGCTTAAAACAAATGGGAAACCCAAAGCTAATAATAAATTTCCTGCCATCATCATTATGTATATAATAGAAGTTTATACCCTTTTTCAGCTTGCTAGGAGGAACCAAAACAGGTTCAGTGTTTACTTGGTTTAGAAAGTTTACTTTTAGATCATATTGTCAAAATTAATACCTGTTTGATATGGTATTACCTAGCAACGAGAGATGGAAAAGTCCTTTGTTAATAGAACGTTTTCTCTTCTTTTTTTGTTTCCCTTTGCTATTCCTGGGATATTAAATCCTAGTGAATATAGCCCTGCACCAAGGAGATGCATTACAGATTTTGGTCTAAACTACCCCAGCACTGTGTTTCATTACAGAAGTGTCAGGGTGTTTTCAAATGTTGGTAGCAAAAGCTGAATTTTGCTGCCAAACCCTATTGAACAAGCTACATCAGTTTCACAAGTCAAATGTTTCTTAATTGATATGATGCTGATCACAAACTTTGTTATGAATAGTACAGCGTTAAAGTCTGAAAAGACCCATCAATCTTACATGCACTTTGAGCATATTTTGTTGCAAATAGTGTCCTAATTGATAGTAGGCCTGATTATATGGCCAGGAGCCTAATTTATATATCACAAACTGCAGTCCTTTTGTTATTGAGGAAGTTGACACCTTTACAAGAGAACAATATATGTCAACCAAAATATATACCAATTAGGCCTTAGTGAGACACTGAAATGAATGATTTCAGAATATGCTGTACTTATAAATAATATATGGTTTACAGCCACTTGCATTTCAAACAGCAGTTCTCTTTGTTGCTACTATTTTAAAACTGTAAGCATTGAAAAAGGTCACAAAAATATGTCCATTAGCACTGAAAGCCAGGAAAATGGACAATAATTTGGTGCTCATTTAGCTTTGCATTTGATGGGATAGCTGTGAAATGTAGTTTGCTTAAACACCACACAACAAAGTGATTGGTGCTTCACTTCATTATTAAAAGAGGGTGTTTGATGGAAACCCATTGTTAACTATGAATGCATGGACGTGGCAAGTAGTCACACAAAGCAGTTGTAAGCATGGAGCAAGCAAGAGGTTGTTTCCAGTTTCAAATCCTTCCGAGAACAGAACATTTTTTTAAAAAAAATTCTACTTGAGTCCATTACCAACATCCAAAGATTGTTTAGAAATTAAAGGGCAAGATTAGGAAGGTATGCCTTCAAGTTAGCTGTGGAATGGGATGAATTGCTGCAGCCAACTCGCTGCAGGACAACTTGCCATGGCCAACTCGCCATGGGACAATTTGTCTCAGAATAAGAGTTACACCATTATCCAAGAAAGGGTGGAATATAATTATTAAAGAAAGGATGCCAAAGGAGGGACAAAATCAAATGGGAATGACAAAAAATCAAATATTTGTTTAATCATTTTAAATAGTTAAATTGAATTGTTGAATTATTTAGCAGCGACATAGCCAGGGAGAGCTGCCTTCTGGTAAGTTGCCCGTGGTGAGTTGGCTGTGGTGAGTTAGCAATGGCAAATTGCCCATGGTGAATTGGCGGTGGCAAGTTGTCAGAAGAGGTAGAAGTTGGAACCACACCAATAATTTATGTGCAATTTATATCCAGGAAGACTAACTTTGAGATTAATATTGCTGATTATATATTTTTTCTCATATAGCCAAGAAATGTTTAAGTCCATGGAAGAAGAAAAGCATCACATCCTAAGTACATACCACATACTTTTTATCATGCAATTTGTCTTCGGTCTGGGTGCAAAGAGCTGGCATCAAGCCTGAGGATCTTATTTTAGAAATAAAAAGTCTACTCTGAACCCCCTTAGCTATTACTTTTCCTTTCACCCTTTAGATACATTGATGGATGTTCTTTTTTCATCACTATTAAGCAAAGGTGCAGTTGCAGGTTCACTTCACTTTCACCCACCTAGGTCTTAGTGAGTCTTTTGTCTTTGCCTAATGCAATACAATAATTTGGACCAGTCCCATATGCTAACAAAATATCTGGATAAGCTCTAACTTTACTTGAGCATGGAAGCACCAATGCTTCTAAAGTTTTGCATGTCATTTTCTTACTAGAGTGACAGCAACTCTATCCTTTGGCATAATGGGAGAAAGAGCAGTGAAGGAAAAGAGCTCCTGTATCTTTAAAATTAAAGTCCCCCTGCACTATCACTTGGGCAGAAGAATATATAAGGTGCTTGAAATGTTATTTTTTTTATTAAGATTTGCACAAAAGCTTTCCACATTTCAAGATCAGCATGGTGTGAGTGTTTGCAACACATCTTCTCTCACAGTTTCACTGCCGCAGAAATGGAATCTGGGGAGTTAAAAAAAAGAAGCAGGCATTAATGTATACACTTTGATATCAGCATGATATCAATATATTAGCATGAACTTTAAAAATTTTGTATCACTGACTCTCAAGAAATGTAATCAATTAAAAATCACCCTTGAGGCATTTTATATGGTATACGATAAAAAGGTATATGATTAGTTTTGTACCTCTGTTTTTATAACTTTTGTACTTAGTCCAAAATTATAAAAGAAAGTGAGTAAGAGTAAGAAAATTGCTCATTTTTAATATTCAAAGAAAATATTTGCGGCTACAATTCTGTGCCCATTGATGTAGAAAACTATGTGTTTAAGATGGATTGTAATCAATCAGACTGTTACGCCCTCTTTTTTTATGATTTCCCATCAAACTCTGTCATAGATTCAAACACTGTTACAATTTTCTCATACCCATGGCACCCAATTCACACAATTTAACAAAAGACCTTTATCAAGATCACTATGTTAGAATCCTGATCAACAAGACCTAATATAGACTTTTTCCCCAAAGTTTTCAATGGGTCTCCTTTACATATAACTTTGTCTAACTCAGTGTAAAGAAAATTAGCTCTGGGAAACAGTGAGCAAGGACCATTCATTTAAGTATCCTAATTAGGCAAAAGTTGGGTCCAATGGCAATAACTAATGCTGCCCTGGTTCCTCCTCTCTTTTCTTTATCCCAGAATGTTAGACTCTCATTCTCCAGGGAGATGAACCTCATTCCCAAATCGTACACATGCCAGTAGGCATCATGGCTGCAGAAAAACCAGCCGATACAGAAACTGGGGACAGTGAGAACATAAGCAATGAACAGTGAGAGAATGTGGAGTTGAACAGCTGACCCCTGCTCCTAAAAAATGTGAACTCTTCATTCTACTTGAACCTGCCGGGCATCCAACTTTTCTTTGACAAAGAGAAAGAATCCCACAAGGACTGGATTGAGCTAGGTAACACCCCTGTGCATCTGTATCCAGATACATACAGCTTTTGGTAAGAATGATAAGAAATCTGCTGAAACAGGCTATGGGCCAATCTACTTTAGCATTCTCTTTAACTCCGTGATCAAACAGATGCATTTGTGACAATTCCTACTGTGACAAGGTTGTGTGTGTGTGTGTGTGCAGTTCTTGCATAGAATCAGCTATTTATAATATGCTGCTTATTAAATAGGAGTTGTGCAATAATCAATTATAGTAGTCACTGATCGCCTCCTCTCAATAAATTTATAGAATCTTTTAAAACCAATGTTAAATTAGTGTCATTGCTGAGAGTTTCAATCATGTTCATCCCACTAAACTAGCTTTACAATAATTTGGTATGCACTATATAAAAACATACAAGATATTATGTAAAACTGTAAGGCCTACATATGTAGAACATAAATAATTTTGCAAGCTTAATTTTGTTTCTTTTATTACTTTCTTTGAATTAGTGAGGGTATACGTACACATTCCCAGTTTCTCCATCTTGTACCATAATCTTTGCTGCTCCTAGCTGGGGCAAAGTTGGGTTTATGAAAACGTTGTTCCAAAGAAATTTAACCTTAGTTATAGTTCCAACCTTAAGTTCTACGTCTATTAGCTTGGTATGAATCTCACCAGGTCTGAGGTTCCCCCTTAAAAACAAAACAACATAAAACAGATAAAGTCATGTTGTTATTTTTTTATACATACATGTATCAATTTTTCCTCAGTCTATGCCTGCCTGCCTGCCTGTCTGTCTGTCTGTCTATCATCTAATATCTATCTATCTTGTAGTTTTTGGTTTTAGCATAACACTCCAACATTAAAAAAATAGATTAAGCAATTTTCATAAATATTAATATTCTACATTTGTATGAGTGATATTTACTTTAATCAAGATTTTTTCTTAGTTGATCTATCTACTGAGGTTATAGTTTCTGTGAAGTTTACCAAAACATTAATGGCCCAAATGGCTTGTTTAGTGCACCTGAAAGAACATCTGAAAGAAAATTACACATACATGAATACAGGACTCAAAACTTTATTTAGTAGTATATAGATTTGCATATGAATATATTGTGGTATGTTTTTTTCCCCTTGTTAACGTGCAAGAGTCAGATTAAATGCAATCTAAATGGAAATAATTACATGTCATAACCATTTAATACATCCCAGCTAGTAAAACTGCTGTCTGGTACTATAACATGTTATTGGCTGAGCTAAATATTAGTCAAGTAGCAAGTGACATATTTGTCTAATTAAAATACAACTTGTAATTCAAACAGCCACAGCAAATGATAAGTGGAAACTTAAAATCATAATAATTTGGAAAATGTAATTTTAAAAATCCTTTGGAAAAAACAACAGTCATAAACATGAAGATACTAAAATGAAAATGCAATGTGCTTAAAATAGTTTTTGAGAAATCCTCAAATAAATGCAGTTCAGATCAATTGAATTACACTTCCTGAATTTCCAGCCATTTGGAATACCAGAAATTATGGGAGCTATAATCCCAACCTGTTGAAAGGACATTTTATGGCAGAGACAATTTTATAAAAGATCTACATATCACTTGAATTTTTTTTTAAAAAATACTTTGCTTAACAACCAAGTTTCCAATCCCAATTGTGACTGCTAAACAAAGACCATCTGCATCTATAGTGGAAATATAGATTGGGATTATTTATTGTTTCTATTGGTTTCCTTCATTAAAGAAATAAATGTATGCAGTCATGGTATTATAGCAGAAAAGTCAGTGTCTTCTGCAACTCTAGCTGCATTATATTCTATTTTATTCATTGGTTAAACTTAATTTCTTGTTCCAGTTTGGCAAAATTATTGACTGAGTACTCTTTGGTATTGGAAAAATAAAGTGATCCCAGCTATATGAAATAGTATATTAAATCGAATTTAAAATCTAAAGATATACCTAACAATAAAATGTCAGAAAAATCTGTATATAATCACCTGTAAATATAAATTCTAAAAATGAATAAATCCGGACATCTCATATCCACAAAAGGCTTACATTTTGTTTTTGTTGTGCTTCTATACTGGGCTAAATGTGTTTTGCTTTTTGGCAAAAGGTTGGATTATATACTGAAACTAAATTTGACCAATAAATAAACTACCTTCTAAAGAATTCTTAAAGATACACCTCTCAGATGAAGAAAGAAAATCAGAAAAACAAAACTAACAAGTTTAAAATTTTACTTTCAGATGTAGTATTTCTGAAAATTTACCTGAAAATTTCATATTGCCTTGTGTTTCCTCCGCTCCCATACAGGGCAATATTTATGTATCCCAAGACATTTTTTTTTCCAAACAGTGTAACTGATGACTTGTACCTCCAACCTACACACCACCATTAATGAGAATTTGGTTTTAATCAAGAAAGTTTCTAGTGCTAATAAAATTGACTGTTTATAAAAAAAAACTCACAAAATGAGCTGCACTTTGAAGACCCAAAACACCAACTAGTTTTAATCAGGAGCGAAGACCCTATTTTATTATTCACATGCAAAAAAAATACTTCTCCAGAATCCATCTATTTTATTACATATCCAAAATGTATAAAATCTGCTCATAACTTGGATTCTCCACAATGTCACAAAATAGCTTAAATGTAGTGTGGAGGTAGAGAAGCGGCAATATAATACCAGTCATCACATCCTCCTCCTTCCCCCCCCTCCTCCTCTTTTCTTCCATTTCAGATAGTGTCATTACAAAACCCTCTCAAAGTAAAATGTAGATAACTGAAGATTAAAATCAGAACCTGTATGTTGTTCCATGAGGCTAATAAATTTTTGCTCAGCCTTGCGGGCTCTTATAAAGTTAAAAGACAAATCCCTGAGCACTGTTTGCATTCATTTTTTCAGTGAACCTTAAGATAGGGTGGGGCGCAGCTCTCTTAATCACATAGGATTTTGCTTCATGCATCTGTAAAAGACATAGAACTTCACCCCAATTCTTCCTCCTATAGTAATTGCATAGGCCGATATTCAGCACTCCATCTATAACTACAGATGCAATTTATAGCTTCCTAACTGATGTCTATGGAAAGTCTCAGTCATCCAGGTCATGATTGTTCCAAAGGTGCTTTTTCAAGAAGCAACCGGGCTTTCTGGTTTTTCCTTGAAGACGTTTCATTTCTTATCCAAGAAGCTTCTTCAGGTCTGACTAGATAGTGGGGGATGGAAGGATTTACATTCCTTGCAGACAGTTGGTCATTTGCATTCTTGTTGATGCCACTTGGAGGTTTATCTGTGTCCTCAAGGTCACCTGAATAGTGCAAATGGGTGTGGAACCTTCATGGAGCTGGTGGAAGTTCCAAGTTCTTGAAGGCTCCACACCCATTTGCACCACTTAGGTGATCCTGAGGATACAGATAAACCTCCAAGTGGCCTCAGTAAGTCTTTAAGAATACAAATGACCAGTTGTCTGCAAGGAATATAAGTCCTTGCCTACCCTCCAATCAGACCTGAAGAAGCTTCTTGGATAAGAAGTGAAACATCTTCAAAGAAAAACCAGAAAGTCCAGTTGAAAAAAGCAACTTTGGAACTTCCAAACTGATGTTTAGTGACCTAATATGCAGAAGAAACATATAACATGGCTAGTTTTCATTCCTTTTAGGGAAGAGCTATTGTTAGACATTCATTTTCTCTCCCAGGAACAGAAGTGGCCACCCAAAGTCTCTGTCTTTCTGTCTTTCTCCCCTTCCCATTTTTATCCTTATTATATTTTATACTTATTACAACCCATTTTATCCTTATTATAACAACCCAAACCAATCTTGTTTACGCATCTGGGTGGTAATCTGGTTTTCTTCTCTCACAGTGATGAAAGTACTTGTGTATATGTATACACAAATATATGCAGATACCAACATGCACAGTTGCAAGAAGACAAACTTTAATAGTCCCCAATTCCCGGCCTTGTGCTTACGGGCAAAATTTTTGGCTTCTCCAGTATTCAAATACAGCTTAGTAAATTTAGAAGTGATTTTGTCTTTAAATCGATCTGCATAATGACCCATAGGAGGACATCCATCTTCTGGACATGGGAAGCAGTTGTCCTAATAAAAGCATATATAGAGACAAATATTCAATCCTATTCATTTGCTTTATGTTTATTGTACTAGTGGAAAACATTAGCTAATTACGCTGTCCTTTCCCTTTCTTGTTCTTTGTACTATTAAATGAGTAGTAATTCTCCTGGTTAAATAAATTTTATGCCATGTTACAAGAGATATATATCTGTATGTTTATTTAAAAAAACATATAGGACTATTAAACACTCTCTTTTCCAGCTGTACAAACTTTAAATGTATCCTGAAAGTTAAAAATTCAGCATAATTCATCTTCTCTAAATTTTGATTATTCTTCATCTCTATGAATCGAGAATATCTCTCATAACCAGCTGATTTTGGAAAAGAAGTACTTGGTTTGTGATGTTCCCAATTGATGCAAAATGCATATACAAATCACAATTTATTCTTTGAATCCAAATCTCTGCAAAGCTGAATTATGACACTCTTGCCTTAGAGTTTGAGGGAAAAAATGAAATATAAGTGTTTTATGAAGCCTACAACCCCCTTCTCAAAAAGAGTGCCAAAAATGTTAGGTGATTATTGAAGAACTATCTACAGTTCTTATTAACTTGCTCCTGTACATTGTTTCTAGCATGATGATTTTTCAGTTAATTCACTCCTGGACTAAGAATATGGAAAGAGCTAAATGCAAAGGGAATGGAACTTAACATTTTCTTCTTGTTAGCAATTTCTCAAAGATGATTTTTTTTCTAGGCTCACAAAGCAATTTGATTTGAGGGGATACTGAGAGATGCAATGTGATACTCTCTCCATCTCCCAAATCATATTTCTATTCTCAGAATCCAGGTTTCTGCACAGCCTCCCAAATAAAAATGATATTAATGTTCATATAATTCAGCCATACACATCTGGGGCTCAAGTCTACATGCTCACACTCCTGTCATTCACTCTGCCAAATAACTTAGTTTGCAATGCATCCAATTGGACAACCCATAAATTATCCCTTGACTGCCAAATCAGGATTAAACATGCATTTTTTTGCATTTGTTTTGAAAGCAGGTGCAAATTGCAGTTAGCCATTATAGCCATAATTGTAAATTACATTTTGCTGAAAAAAAGAGAAAATCACTAATTAAGCAACACCATGAGAACTGGAGAAGGGTGAAGCAGTGGCTATATTATGTGAACAGAAGTTCTTGTAAACTGATGGTCTCATGGTTTTTCTTTTTTCCCTTGTATCCTCTGACAAAGAAAAAAGTCAAAACACTACATTCTTCTATTAATAATTTTGGAGTGATGCAAATAACATACTTCAAATAAGTTGTATGCTCCACAAGGGTAACCCAAAAATCCATCTGGAAATAAAATGCTATCTGAATAATATTTATAGCTCCGTAGATGGTTACAGGCCACAAAATCACGGGTTCCTGTGGAGCAGAAAGAAATGTTAGATGCTATACTTCTTGACTTTTCCTATCAAGCGCTTTAAAGAAGATTAAATTAACACTGACCTCCTTAGTTCTGGAGCAAGGCCATTCTCTCAACCTTTTTTCATCATTTTATTACCTTTGCCAAATGTTGATGCATTTCTTTAAAACCATTCCTTGAGAGGTTGGACATGTATAATACTTTGGTTGGGAGAAGTGCAGGCAAAAGATCAGTAGCAGTTACTAAAAGTAGTAGTTTAAAGAATAAGCATTCTTGAAATTGATGTTTAATGAATTAAAAGAGACAGATTGAGTGAAGTAGCCCCATCTTGAATGTATTAGATTATCCTTTTAGTAGCATCCTGTTTTAGTAGTAATGGCAATTATAGTGAACAATTAATTGTATGATTAGTGCATATAAATATTAGACTTCTGGAATTACTCTGTTTTAGAAACTTTTCATTTTTCTTACTATGTTGTCCAATCTAGTATATATGACTTAATAATTAAGATGGTTTTATCTTAACAAAGGAAAAGATTTGTTGACAATTCTGTACCTATCTACTGTCCTTGATTGAACAAAACAGTCATGATATGGCATTTTCAGACACAAAATGCTCCAGCAAATCTCAGTTTTTCAGTACTCATGAACATCTTAGGATAAGCAATATAGGCAGCAGACCAGAGGTGATATTCAGCAGGTTCTGACCAGTTCAGGAGAACCAGTAGTGGAAATTTTGAGTACTTCAGAGAACTGGAAAATACCACCTCTGACTGGAGATTTACAGTATCCTTCCCCTGCCATGCCCACTAAGCCACGCCCACAGAACTGATAGTAAAAAAAATTGAATCCCACCACTGCAGCAGACTGGCATATGGGCTGGGTTGTTCCTGAGAATAAAGCATGTTTAGGAGCTCCCCAACTGGTTAGGTTGCACGAACATTTTCACCACTTGAGAAAAAAGTTGTCGGCAAGACATTGGGAAAAGAGCAGTCAAAGTATAAGTTTGAAACTCTTAGCCCAGGATGCTAGAAGCTAATATTTGATTGAGTGCAAGGATTTTTAACATGGAAAAGAAAATACAGACGTTTTCATGAAATGTAAGCTCTTAATTCCATGGCTAGATTCATAATGTAAGGTGGCATATAGGACTTAGGGCAAACATGGAAATGCAACAGACTTTAAGAATTTCTTAGTGCTCAAGTGTTTTGAGTCCAGTCTGCCCAAACTGTTGATTGCCACAAGAGTTAAGACAGAAAAATTTCTTTCAGGGAGTTTTGTGATATTAATGATATTGTCAACAAACAGGTGGACACAAAATATCTAAGAAATATACATTTCAAAATCCAGTTATGGAATCCACTGTAGTGCTTTAGTCTTGGGAGAGGGCTATGTTCATTTTTTCATTCAGTAGCCTGTGGTACTGGTTTTGTGAGAGCGAGTCATTTAGGAATGGTAAATGTAGGTTGTGGAACAAAAAGAAAATCTTTATTTCAGAACCAAAAAAATTGACAGGTATACATTTGTTACTTAGCGATTAGGTTAGCTAACTACAAAGTTTTCTTCTGGGTTGGAAAATTGTTTAGTAATTGCAGTTGTTTCATAGCAATGTATTTATTTGTTCTATTTTATTGTACTTCATCATTTCTGGGAGCCTTACAAATAAATGAAAAATATCAATCACAAAGCACAGTTGGAACATACCTAGTTCAAGCTATGCTGTTTATCGTTTGCTGGAATCCATCTTGAGTGCATATATTATTCTTTCGAGACTTTAGCATTTTAGGATTATTAACGATCTGACAAGGTGCATAACATTTTCCAGGATGTAAAACTGGCTTCAGAAATCTTGACTTACTCATTTCATGACGAGATGAAACAACTTGTTCCAAAATAAAAAGGGCTACTTTGAAAGCCTGCTGGGCTGTTTTGTTTTCTAGTTTAAGATATGGATTAAACCATTTCTATTTCTGTAGGGTTTTAATAAAAGTGGGATAAACATCTAAGGATAATAATATTAGGAATACTTAAATAAGAGCAGAAGGCAAATTGGTTTCATAATAATAAAATAAGTAACGAACTATTTAGATTTTTATTTAAAATTTTATCCTATCTTTATTTATTTTTCCAGGCAGTGAACATACTAAATCTCTTTCCTCCATTTTTTCCTTAGAACAACAATCCTGTGAGGTAGGTTGGGGAGAGAGAGAGAGAGAGAGAGAGAGAGAGAGAGAGAGAGAGAGAGAGAGAGAGA